TTTTTTAAAGATTTTAATATAGATTTTGAGAGAGAAAGGAAGGGAGAGACATATCGGTCAATCATTAATTGATCGACTGCCTCCTGCATGCCCCCCACTGGGGGTCAAGCCTGAAACCCGGGCATGTGTCCTAACCAGGAATCAAATCAGCAACCCTTTAGTGCATGAGATGATGCCCAACCAACTAAGCCACACTGACCAGAGCAAATTAAACACTTTAAATGGGTGAACTGCATGGCATGTGAATTATAGCTCAATAAAACTAAAACCAAAAAAAATGGTTCTTATAATTTCATACTTTTGTGGAAGGTCAAGGATGAAACGATGAAAAGTCTTTTAAAAGTGACTGGGCAGAAGTTTCACTTTTTCTGTCCAAATCAAAACAGGCTTTCCGCTTTCCAGTTTTCTTTCCTCTCAGAGGGTGAGGTTGATGGACCTTCATCTGTATCACTGAAGGTTAAATAAAGCCCCCACCATGGTCACTGTGTTGGCAGGGGGAGGATTTGAACCTAATAATGTGCAAAATAAACTACTACTCTTATTCTCAGGCTTAGGAACTAAATATAACCATTATTTTGTTCTCTCTTTGCCAGAGAAAATTGGGTTGGATAGACAAAATGCCCTCTTGATTGGGAGGACATTGCTGCTTTCAACCACCAGCTGTATTTCTCTGGAAGACAGCCCAGAAAAGAGACATCTGTATCCCTAGACTGACTTATTTCACGAGTCTCCGTTGGATAGTCCCTGGGGTAACACTGAGCATTGACAATCCTGGATGAACCTTCCAAAGGGTCCTTTGCTGTGCCTTCATAAGACACACTGCCCCACGACTAAGCAACGCTGCCCATGCTGCCTCTGTGTCACACTCAGTTCTGGCTGTTTAGTTCCCACCTGCTTTTGCAGAAACTGATAACATCCCCCACATTTCTCATTGGGGGGAAAACCTCTACAGAAAGAGGAAACACCTCCTTCACATCCAAAAAGATGACGGAGTCATGGACAGAAATAACCCACAATGAAGTAGTAACTGTGAGTGTGCGGGAGAAGGAAGTTCTGATGTTCTGTGAGAGTCAATAAGCAAAGGTAGGTTCATATTATACTGCTCAATATGGCTGAGTCAGGCTATTAAAACTGAAAGTATCAATGTCTCTCAGACCTACCGCTGGTAACATTTACTCCAGTAACACCTAAACCCAGATGACAGCTGTGAAATTCCACCTAATTTAACCTTGATGCCTGGTATCCAGACAGGAAGTAAAGCAGGCATGGCCCTGACTCACACTTCTTTTATTTCAAGTTTTGGGTTCCAAGGCGTGCTCAAGCTAGCTCTCATTTCCCCCACCCCCAAGCATGACGCAGATGTGTGTTAATAACTTCTTTAGAACTGAGACCAAGGTCAGGTATACCGGCTCAAAGCTGCCTGAAATTATTTACTGAGATTCACACCAAGGTTAAGAGATGCTTTGCCTAGTATTCTGCATGCCGGGCAGTGAATGCTAGTCAGGATCTGGGACACATCTCGCCACATGTTACTTGATGGAGCCAGGATGTTTCCAGGAACCCAGACTGACCACACTCTTATGCTTGCCTGAAAGAATTTCCAAAAGTCCCAGAAATAAAAATCTCTTTAGGCAAGAAAGCTTGCCTTGGAAAAATTAAAAAATGAGTTGAACTCTTTTTTTTTTGAAGAGAAATTAGAAGGGGGAGGTGACATGTCTCTGCCATAAAATTTGACTTAATTTTTTAAATATGAAAAAGCAACTCAGTGTATATTTTATACAGAGGGCCACCTGAATTTGGCATTAACCAGTTAACTGCCACGCGTCCAAAATGGAAAACATCCCCACACGCCACGATATTTTGAATTTAATTTAAAAAATCACTTTGCAATGAATATTATAAAAATAAATATATTACTCATAATTCGGGCATTCTTGAATATTTTCAGCCGAAAGTTCTCACGAAAAATGATTTTAAAGTTGGTCAGGGCTGCCACTTAGGCCCGCTGCTTGCGTCTACAGACGCTTATGGCATACAATGGGTTAAAAACCTGTGCTGAGCCAGATAGTCAAGCTGAGAATATCTCTTGCTTCTCCTTCTGTTCCCCTCCACCCAAGGAAGAGACAAACAAGAGGCATATGGGCAAAATGCCCTCTTGGCTGAAAGAGATCTCTGCTTTTAACCCCAGGCTTATATTTCTTTAGGATACAGCTTAGAAAACAAATCAGATGCCAGGTTTCTTCGCTCTCATCTCTTAATCATGAGCAAGGTATGTGCATTCACACCCCACTTCCTCACTCACCTTTGTCTTTGCGTTAGAAGAGGATGAGTCACACACACACAATTATAAATCATTTGGAGAGGCCTTCCAACATCCTAGGAAAATCTCTGTGTTTGGCAGTAAGCTATTTTCTCTAGGAAAATATCTACCTAGTTTTACACAACTTACCATAGGCCAAAATATTGATAATAGTATAACTTTTAAAAATACTTATGACAACAGCCTTAATTTAAAACAATACTTATCAGTCTGTGTTCCTTGAGGGTTTATTAAAAAATGCATATTCCAGGATCTCACACCAGACCCCTGAGTCTGGATCTCTGGGGACAGAGTTTTCACGTTGTGTGTGTGTGTGTTGTTTTTTTTAACCCTTACCCAAGGATATGTTTCCATTGATTTTTAGAGAGAGTGGAAAAGAGAGGGAAAGACAGAGAGAAATATCAATGTAAGAGAAACACAGAGGTTGGTTGCCTCCTGCACGAGCCCTGACCAGGGCCCCGGCTGGGGAGGAGCCTGCAACCAATCGAACCTGGGACCCTTTGGTCTGCGGGTCGAAACTCTATCCACTGAACCAAACCGGCTAGGGCAGAGTCTCCACATTTTTAACAAATTTCCTAGGTGATTCTGGTATGCACTAGAGTTTGCCTTGTACACCGGTAAGATTACGGCAAACATTTCCATCATGATATCACAGAGGTTAGAACAACAAAACAAAAATCTCCGAAAATGAGTGACTTGTATCCTTGCGATTTCTGAATCACATCCTAACACTTGCTAATTGTTGGACAGCAAGGAAAACAAGGCAAAAGCAGAGAGCGATTAATAATTTCTGCTTTCAGATGCACGTTATTCAAAACCCTCCCCCACGAAAGTTCCAAGTTCATGGTTTTGCAGATACTGAGAAGTCTAGATCTAGCTTACAGCCATAATTATCGTGGGGTTTTTTTCCCTTCTAGCTACAGAAGTCTATTGTGGTGTGTCTCTGCTTAGAGTCTATCATGCAGCAGTGAGTCTTCTAGAATCAATTTAAAACAAGACTTTACTAATGAGATAACAGTAAGTAAAAAGGCAGGTCACACAAAAATTAAGTTCCTGCTTTGTAAATAGAGATATTTCCTTCTTCCCTTGGGCCTCACTGGGTGAGACCTCCTCAAGGTTGAGCCTACCCTCTGCTTCCTCCAGGGTCCTCCTTCCCGAGTATAGATATAAAGGTGCCTCAATCTGGAGGTCCAAGATGGCAGTGGCACAGGAGGACGCTGAACTCACCGGAAGAAGTAACCACAAATCACCATCAGGTTTTCGTGTTATGGTTAGCTCCCTCTCTCCTTAAGCTACCCCTAAACTGATGTTCACTTTTAAAACAAATAAATGATAAACACACTTTAAAATGTTGACTTTTCAGTGAAAATATCATCACTAGTAAAATTTTAACTTACTATTACATCAAAAGCACAAAGTAAGCCCTGGCCTGTCTGCTTGGTTGGTTGGAGCGAGTTCCCCATATGCCACGGTTGCGGATTCGATCTCGGTCAGGGCACATACAGGAATCAACCAACAAAGGCATGAGAGTGGAACAACAAATCGATGCTTTCTCTCTCCCTTCCTCTCTCTAAAATCAGTTTAAGAATTACATTTTTTAAAAAGCACAAAGTAAGAAATCTAAAATCAGTTTAAGAATTACATTTTTTAAAAAAGCACAAAGAAATATTTATTTTTTGACCCAGTGATTTCACTTCTAGTAATATATCTGAAGAAACCTGAAACACTAATTTAAAGAATAAATGCATCTGAAGAAACCTGAAACACTAATTTAAAAGAATAAATGCACTCCTAAATTTCAGAATTATTTTAAAGGCTACTTTAAAAATATATATATATATGTACTGTAGTTGATCCATTCCTGTATATAGCTACACTTCTCCTGTATCTAGTTTCAAGTTTTAGTAAATAACAGAATCATCTTCTATATAAGTTCTTTTTCTTTTAAAAGTTATTTCTCTAGAATAAATTCCCAGCAATGGTTTTGCTACTTCAAATGGCATGAACATTTTATGGGTCCATATATATAACATATTTTCCTTCAAAACAAAATTGTACCACATTACCATAACCTATGTGAAAAAGAACTGGATTCCTAAAAAGACTGAGAGGTGTTGAAAGCTTTTCACTTCATTTTTGTTATTGTTTTAATTTTTATTTCTTAATTATGATTAATAATTTTTAAGCTATCAATATGCCAAGCACCATTTTAAGGGGTTTACATATATAAAATTATGTTTTTCTGTAAGAACAATTTAAAATAAACCCTTACTGCATAAAAGCCATAAAATCTACCCTTTATATATTAGCTCTTCTAATATAATAAGATTTTAAATTTCCAGAAAAGAAATAATCTTATTTCATAGAGGTAGGAATGGCACAGAAAAAATGTAACTATGAAGAAAAGAACATTATTCTAGATTTTTCCACATATTTAATTTTTGGACCTTAGAAGAACAAGTCAACCCAAAGGAATAAGAGTTTCTTTTATTACTGAGAACACTATGTATAATTTATTTTCAAAATTAGAAAATTTATTTAATCCTTATCCTCTTTCTTAAACGTGATTGGATGAAACTTAAAAAGTCCAGTAAGAAAGTGGGATGATAAAAGGCAACATGACATTAACACTAGCAATATTTTTTAAATAATTAAGGAAATGATTCAATAAATGACCTACCTGTTCTCACCAAGCACATCAAGCTGATGAAGAAGCATAATCTCAGCATATGGGGACTGGAGAGAGTGTGTCACAGTCACAAGAATGATTTCCTTCCCAGAGCCTTAGAGTTTCAACTGAGGGCTTTGCTCAGAGAGCTCAGATAACTAATCCAGAGGTGTGGTGACAGCAGGAAGTTCCCAGGGACTGCAGGCAGGTCCCACCCCCTTCAAGATACTTGACTCCTCCTCTTTTCAAAAAAGGTCGGATATGTTTCCACCTTACACAATTTTATGCATATCTTAATATTTTAATACATATTTGCAGAATGACGAGTTCAAAATAGTTTCATTCTTTGTGGGCGGTTTATTAGTTGTTTGGCTTGGTGTGTTGAAATCAAGAGTGATTTGAAATATTTTCCTCTCGTGTTCTTGTGAATGAAACACATCCAGTTAGTGTTTGGTTGGCCTGTGTATACAAAACTACTTGTTATGTTAATTCACACACTCATTTCTCATAGGACAGTCTTTAGATTTTATTAAGAACATTTCATTAAGTCCAATTGTATACCTACATGTGCCAAAATATGCTTCAGAATAAAAGAAACTTTTTTATGGTATTATATATCTTTATTTTTATTTCTTCTATCCAGATTTCCTATCTAGTTATTAGTTCTCCTCCTCCCTCTTCTCTTCCTCCTCCTCCTCCTTCTGTTCCTCCTTCTTTTAAAGAAAAACAAATGCAAAGACTTTAGAGAACTATGCCAGAATCCATCCACCTCAGTCTTGGAAGTAACTAAACGTGTGCTTTATAGCTACAAGGTAATTTAATTCTCTTTCTGGGGAGTGCTTGTAATGCTTAGACTTTTGGTGGTCTGATGAGCATAAAAATAAAGACACAAGCAATTTAAGAATATATTTTCATCCAAAACAGTAGGCAAAAACCACTAGTCACTTAGCTTTGTCTATCTGAAGTATGTGTTTATGAAGTATGAGCATCTCTGATCTAAGTTTATCAGTTCTTAGCACCTTAATTTGCAGGGGATTCCTTACAGGAAGTAGTTTCTAGCAATGCTTCCCAAGGAATCAGTACATTAGAATTACGGGTGGGGGGGGGCGCATTAAAAAGTATTTTATATATAGGTCTGTGTCACACCTCAGACCTAATGGATGCCAAGATTTCTGGCTCTGGTCAAATGACCTGGTTGCAAATACCACCACTTCCAGTCACTAAGTGTGTGGCCTTAAGGGAACTATTTAAGTTCTCTAAGTCTTAGTGTTCTCAACTGTAAAATCCTATATAATAAAGAGGTAATATGCAAATTGACCCTCATGCCCTCATAAGATGGCTGCCTACAACCAGGCTGACAGGGGGGTTAGTGAGAGATGACCAAACGACTGAACAAGCAGCCGCGTGGGGCGATCAGGCCAGCAGGGGGGTTAGTGAGGGCAACCAGGCCGGCGGGCGGGGGCACTTAGGGGTCACCAGGCTGATGCGGGGGTAATTAGGGGCTATCAGGCTGGCACGCAGAGGCAGTGAGGGGTGATCAGGCAGGCAGGCAGGTGAGCAATTAGGAGCCAGTGGTCCAGGATTGTGAGAGGGATGTCTGACTGCCGGTTTAGGGGAATCAGGCCTAAACTGGCAGTCAGACATCCCCCAAGGGGTCCCGGATTGGAGAGGGTGCAGGCTGGGCTGAGGGGACCCCCCCTCCCCGTGCATGAATTTTATGCACCGGGCCTCTAGTGGAGATAATAAAATCACACACCTCACAGGGTTATTATATGGATTAAATGAAAGTTCTTAACACTTTGCCCACTACCAAGGTAAGTGCACTCACCCCTTGGTAACTATTGTTATTACCTAACTGATCACACAATCTGCACCTTTCCTCCCCACAACTCCTCCCCCTTAAAAGGTGGGCTGCGCAATGCTGAGCAGAAGGACCTGGTGGAGAATCTCTGGGGTTTTAGGAACGGAGAGCAGTTTACAGCAGTGATGTCCCAGGTTAATAACTTTAGTCAGCAGTTTAGTCTATTTTTGTGTCTTGTCTGCTGCTTGGAGAAGTAAATTAGGGATATGGAAACAGGAAAACCTAATAGGTGACCTGCTAGCTATTTTACTTTTCCATTTTCAAAAAGCTCTACTAATTTGAAAACAACTGCCCTCAGGAACAAATGGAGCATTGTTTCATATTCTCCTAGGAACCGGTTATGGAACACATGGCTCCCTGTTGGATCAGTGTACTTGCCTGATAAATATTTGTTGAGTGCCTATCAGTTTTAGTACCATGCCAAGTGTTTATCTACACAGAACCAATGTATATTTTACTGGAAACTAGCCAAGTATAGGAACAAAATTCATTTCCGTGGGGAGGCTTTGTGTTACTTTTAACATCTTTGTGTTACTATTAATGATTATCCCACCGGTGGGCACAGAGGGTTCCCCTAAGTCAGTGATGGCGAACCTTATGAGCTCGGCGTGTCAGCATTTTGAAAAACCCTAACTTAACTCTGGTGCCATGTCACATATAGAAATTTTTTTGATATTTACAACCATAGTAAAACAAAGATTTATATTTTTGATATTTATTTTATATATTTAAATGTCATTTAACAAAGAAAAAATCAACCAAAAAAATGAGTTTACGTGTCACCTCTGACACGCATGTCATAGGTTTGCCATCACTGCCCTAAGTCCTAGTCTTATGGCCCTTTCTACTTGCAGCATTCAAAACAGCACAAGAATCAGTGGGAAACCCATCCCCTCTTTTTCAGGATAGTGAGAAATATCAAATATATATATTTAAAAACATTTCAAAGGATGGGAGAGGGGAGATGTAGGGAAGACCTGAGAATGGGTGTGACTTATAAAGAGGGAGCACAAGGAATGTTTGAGAATCTCTTGATTGTAGTGGTGGTTACAGGAATCTACACCTGTGATGAGATCACACACACACACACCACAAATACAAGTGCATGTAAAACTGGTAAAATCTAAATAGATTCTGTGGATTATACCAATGTCAATTTTTTGGTTTTGATAGTCCATTCTAGTTATGTAAGATGTTAAAACTGGGGAAAACTGTGTTAGGATACATGGGACATCTCTGAACTATTTTTGCAACTTCCTGTGAGCCAATATTTATTTCCAAAGAAAAGTTTTTTAAAAAATTCCAAAAGATGGGCCAGCTCATAGCCATTTGAACATTAACATTTAGTCAAAGGTATCCTGAAGAAAACCATTTCCTCATTTCTTATCAAATAGTCAAGAGCGAATAATGCAGGCCCTGGCTGGGTGTTTAGTTGGCTAGAGTGTTGTCCTGCTACGCCAAGGTTGCAGGTTTGATCTCTGGGCACATACAAGAAGCAATCACTCTTTAAAAAAATTATTTTAAAAAAAGGAAGCAACCAATGAATGCATCAATAAGTGGAACAACAACTTTCTCTCTTTCTCTTTCTCTCTCTAAAATCAATCAATAAAAATCATTTGAAAAAGAGTGAATAATGGTCAATGTTCTCAATATATGACTCCAATAAATGATCACAACTCAAGAATATTACAATTTTCCTCATCTTTAATCAATTATTATATACTGGCTTTTAAAAAAAAAGATTTTTTATTGACTTTTTTTAGAGAGATGGGAAGAGAGAGGGAGAGAGAGAAACATCAATTGATTGGCTGCTTCCTGCATGCCCCCTACTAGGGATTAAGCCTGAAACCCAGGCATGTGCCCTGACCAGGAATCAAACCTGCAACCTTTTGGTGTATGGGATGACACCCAACCAACTGAGCAACACCAGCCAGGATTGGCTAAAGAAAAACAAAAACAAAAAAACACACCTAAAAATCACTTGCTACAGAGAGCAGGGTAGAAAGAAGCAAGCAAGTTTCCAAGAACAGGAAAAACAGGTATGGAAGTGTGATGGATCTGAGAGGAGGTGGTTTTATAACTCTCGTTGGCTTCAACAGTCAGGAAAGGTGACCTATGTCCCCTCTTGCCCTGGTCTAGGGTTCCAAGCTGGTAAATGATTCACTATAACATCCTTACTTACGTCTTCTCATTCTCATGAATGATCCTGCCATCTTTCAGTTGTGGTCCAAGTTTGGAAAGATAAGTCTGTTTTCTTGATGCATATTCAGCAAGATCAGGATAACTTTCCCCAAATTAATATACTTATTTCATTCATCATTCCATCATTTATTGAAATATTTCTTGAACTTCCATTTTAAAAAATAAGGAAAAAATAAGAGATGGATCCTTCCCCCAAGCACACAGACACATTAATGATAATACTAACATAGAAGTATGGATACATATTCCATAGGAGAACTGAGGTGGAAGTGGTAAGATGCTGAGTATCCCAGGGGAAGGAGCCACTGGAAAAGCTTCACATAGGAGGTGAGTTTTGATCTGGGTTTCAAGATTAGGTAGGAGTTTGCAGGGTGAAGAAGGTGGAGAAAGAGCATTCCAGGCAGAAGGAAAAGACTTGGAGGCATACATGAAGCGTGGATTGAGAGTTTGGAATGTATAAATAGGGAAATGGTAAAGTTATTTAAAGACAGGCTGTAAAGAACTTTGTAGGTCATGTATAGGATATTGGTTTTTATCTTCAAGGTAGTAGGAACCTAATTTTTTTCTTGTTCACTTAGTTATATTACTACTAGAGGCCCGGTGAATGAATTCGTGCACGGGTGGGGTCCGGCCAGCTCACCCCGATCAGGCCAATTGGGCTGGGCAGGCTGGAGGGGGAAGGGCTGCGGGTGGTTGGCAGGCCAGCCTCACCCGCTGGTCAAACTCCCGGACGAACTCTCGGTCAAGGGGACAATTTGCATATTAGCCTTTTTTAAAAAAATATATTTTATTGATTTTTTACAGAGAGGAAGGGAGAGGGATAGAGAGTTAGAAACATCAATAAGAAAGAACCATCGATCAGCTGCCTCCTGCACACTCCCTACTGGGGATGTGCCCGCAATCAAGGTACATGCCCTTGACTGGAATCAACCCTGGGACCCTTAAGTCCGCAGGCCGACGCTCTATCCACTGAGTGTATGTTACTATTATGTAATAATACAAATAAATCTAAAACATAATACAGTGGGGCCTTGACTTACGAGTTTAATTCGTTCCGTGACAGAGCTCGTAACTCAAGTAACTCGTATG